GACATACTTGTCTTACAAAGCATGCTTGGTCTCTTTAATATGACATTCATATTAAGATTATTAGTGCGGTAAATCTACGCCTGTTACAATAATTTCTTATTTAATAATCTTAAAGTATATTCATACCAAATATAGGTAATATCGTGGGTTGATCTGGTTGTTACAACTTGGTCTTGTTATCAGGAGGACTATGTAGAAGGCACCTAGTCCGAAGTCGTCTGCCATTGTAGTTGTCATGATTCCCATCATCTGACAGTGTACTTGATATATTCTCGAACGTTTCGCCGGCATCCTAGTCGGCATCATCAGTGAGCTTTGCCATTCTCCGCACCAAGCTACGAGGTCGTCAAAGGGACAAGTGAAGTCAATCCCTCGACAACCGTTCTGCAGAAAACAGTTACAGTATCACTCCTCTTTCTGTCATTATCTATACATCTACTCTTTACCCTCTCATCCCACTGCCGCCCTATCACAACTTCTCACTTGTTTACATTCCATTCGTCAAACTGTGTGCCCTTTTGTGGCAAACCGAGTGTTGCCTCATCGAACTTACTATTTACCTCGACCCCTCTCTTTCGATGGGCTTATCCGATTCGGGCCTCCAATGCGGATCCTTTCATTGTCTCATAGATCCGTTCCTTATCTTTTTGGTTAAAAGATTTCACTTGGGTCCAGTCCTTGCGTGTATTTTACTCCATGCGCTATTTCTCAAGGCCCTAAAAGCACATACCCTGCCGCTTAAGCTCTGATTCCCATGCTTGCAGATATCAGGCCTTCCCTACACTGGTCGTCTCCTTGATTAAGCCCATGTTATCTGAGCAAACTGTGTACGCCTATCTCTGGTCGAATGCGGCATCTTAAGTGGATTCCTAGCGCATTTTGGCTAAAACCCCTAATTTCTATGACAGTGTGTCCGTCCGCCCAGCTACCTGACTGCCAGGCCCCCAAAATTGTACTGGTTTATTTGAATAGCCATCACTAACTGACGACGTCTTTGCTTAATTGCCGAATACCCCTGCCCTCCACTTTCGTCATCACAATCCCTTTCCCTCCGGTTAGCGGCAGATCCTTTATCCAGGCGCCTCCTTTTTGCAGGTCTTGCTCTATTGTTTTCCCCGATTATGCTTAGGCAGTAGGCAAACTTATCGCTAACTCCTCCTTTCTTCAATCTCCGGTTCATTAGATTTGTATCCCCAAGGATGTCAATGGCCCCTAGAATCATCCGCTTCCTTGTGCTGTCACCGTATGAAGCTTTCCTTTCTAATGCTTTCCAATTGATCTCGTGTCCAGTTCGTGCGATGTGTTCCGCTAATTCTGATCTTTAAGTATATATTTTCCTGCATAGCCTCTGATGTTTCTTGATTAGTGTGCTAATTTTTCTCCCTATTTCGCCAATATATTTTTGTCCACAGCCGCCACATGATATACAGTAAATTCTTGAACAGTCCAATTTGTC